CAAGCCAACTTTTCTACAAAAATGAATAGTAAATAAACGATGAAAAAAGTTGAACAAATATTTGTTCAAAGGATAAAATTTAAGTGCATGTTGTAGTATTCAATATCAGCAACAGTTAAATATAAAAAATATAGAGTCAGAAAGTTATTAACAATTAAAATAAATAACACTAATTTTAAGCCAAGAATTATTCAGTGGATTAAAATTTTATAAATTTAAGAACTCAAATAGATTATCAGTAAACATGTCAATAAAAAATAAGCATATTCAATTACTACTTCACACCTTTTTGTTTATAAATGTACAGCAATAAAGACAACAAATGTGTATTGATACAATTTTAATTAAAATTCGTAATTTTATTCTCATTGTTACCAAATAAATTACTTTCTGTATTGAATGTGCTTTTAACAATAATTTATATTTGATAGTAACTTTAGTTCAAAACATAACACAAACAGCTTTGATGAAGATATTAAAAATAATCAAATAACTTTCTACACAAGAGAAGAGTTTAATTTGCACACATAAAACAATAGAACTTTAACATTATATTTAAGTTCAGGAAAGATAAAATTATACATATCTTTTTGTTTACAGAAATAAAACAAGTAAAGATAAGGTTATTATGTTAATTGCTCTGATTTATTTACCTTTTAAACACAAATTTTGTCAACATTATTACTCAGCTTGCAAGTGCAGACCGAAAAATTTAATCAATAATATTAAAGAATTAACAAGTTACTTTTATTTCATTACCAAAAATCAACCACTATCATTGTAATTCATAATAACAAGAAGTGGTACAATTTGCATCGTTTACTTCAAATACAATACATAAATTGTAAGCAAAATTATAATGAATCCAAAGCAATTCCAGAGAAAATTTACTGGTTGAAAAGAGGCTGCAAGTCACAAAACCACATTACATTTTCTTTTTTCTCTTTAGTGATTGCAAGCTTTAAATTAAAATCAATAACACTTCTAACACAAAATTTTTAAAGGGTAAAGGTATAAGAGTTACAGATAAATGATTGTTAAATTTTACAGAAGCATGCAGAACAACAAACTAAATAACAATTCCTTCTTTGACTATATATATAAAAAAAAAAACACTTGTAAATAAAAATACAACTAAAAAACCAAATTTTAACATTGAAAGCCAAAATAATAAGAAATTATGCAATTTGCACTTTTTAACTCAAACACAGTAAATAAGTCAAGGGAAAAATTAGCAGATTTTAGAGAAAATTTACAAGAGCGAATGAGGCCGCAAGTTAACAGACCATATTATATTTCCTTTTTCTTCACTCATATTAAATTGGAATCAATAAATATGTCTCAAAAGAAAATTTTTGAAGACAGGAACATACCAGATAAAATTTACAGAAGCAAAGTTGGCAGTAACTCCATAAACCATAGTAAACTTTTTTGTTTCTTCTCTTTTAATTTCTTAGAAATTACTTTAATCAAAATGATATCAATAAGTAATTCTTCATAACTAATTGTAAAAGTCAGACAAATATGAAATAACAGAATATTTGTATTCTTAAAGAAACAGAACTCATGAATTATACTAAATTTGAGAAATACTGGCTAAAAGCAGGTTAAAAAATAGAGTAAATAAAATACATAAATCAATGAACTGGATCACAGGGTGCAGGGAAAAAAACCTGGTAAACTATTTACAATATATTATTAGTATTAAGGATAAATAAATTAACAAAATATAAGTAGTAGACAAAAAAAAACATAAATTTAAAAAAAAAATTTAACTTCTATTCCATGATGCAAGAAATTGGTCAGTTTTTTTCCTGCACCCTGAGTAATAAATCCAAGATGCCCTAGAAATCTTAAGTAAAAATGGCAACATGTTAATGATCATATTTTTCTTAAAAGATTCAACAAACCAAATTTATATATAAATGAAATTAAAAATTATTATAAATTTTAACAGATGACAGAAAAATTTATTTATTTAAGAATCAATACTCAAAATATATAAATCTATGAAATAAATATTAGTAGATCCAGAAAAATTTGCTTATACTTAGACAAAAATGAACCCAAAAAATTAATTTATAATTTTCATTTAAGATATAAATAAATAAAAGATATATCATTGTGATTGCATTATTTTGAACATAAAACTTTTTAATTAAAACATATATGACTATTTAACATTTTTAAAAACTTATAATTTTGATAATTTTCTATATTTTTTTCTTGTTTCATTAACTTTGTGAACATCAATGTGATTGGAGCAATCGCAAAGAAAATGCATTCTTGTGATTAAAAATAATTTTAAAAGGGCACAGTCAGTGGGTGTTTGTTTTCATCAGAGTAGACTAATAGGGGAACGTTCAAATCTTCCAGATTATCATAAATTTCATTCAATGTATTAATATCTAAAATTGATATTGTTTACCGTGGACATTGTTGTGTTCTCTAATAAAGAGATGCAGTTAAATAATTTCTCTGAGGGAAACAGCCAACTACCATTAGATTTTAATTTAATTAATTCAGCATAATGAGGATCAATATCTGGAAAAATTAGGCACTCTAAACATGCCTGACATTTAGTAAACTTTTTTGCCTTCATGGCAACACAGTCAGAAAAATATCGGATCCAAATTTGGAAGAGATTGTCTCCACTAACGTTGTAACCTTTGGGGAGTTTATCGATGAATATGTTCCTAATTAACAGAAAACCTGTAAAGATACAGTGGAGCTTGGGTGATCATTGGAGCCACAGGCATGCCTCATTATTCCAAAAAAAAAACTGAAAGAAATCCATACAATTTAAAACACGTATCTTAAAAATTCATTTTACACATAATCCATGGCAAATATACCAGTAAAAAAGTGCCTCAAGGGAATCTTGATTAAATCTAGATGTCATAACATAAATATAGTTGCAACTATCAATCATGAAATGTGACAAATCTAGAGTGGCTTTGAAAGTGACAATAAAGCCAGAATATGTTGAGTGAGGAATGAAATGGTAAATCCTTTCCCTTGTGAGGCGCTCCTACTGAGCAAGGTATTCAATGAAACTTCGAATTTCCTAAAATTATAACTTCAGAGTAAGATATAGTTTATTTTTAAAGCCATTTTGGAATGTTATAAAAATCTTGCCTTTCAAATACCTTAAAAGATTTGGATTTTAACTTTAAAGCTGATGATGGCACCCTAGAATTCATAGCATCTATGAGACAATCAATATGCTGTACAAAGGTGACACATCCTTCACTTCCAGCAGGTTTGCTGTTGTGAGCTTTAAAATGCTGTATTCCAGCTCCAACAGAGCTGATGAAAAACTGAATTAAGAAAAAGAAAAAGATATTAGTTTACTCAAGATTTGAGTTTTTTTAAACCAAAAATGCTTTCAAAATTAAAATCAAATGCCCTTAATTTAATAATGCTTTTAAATATCCTAAGTTGGTTCTTAAATTGCATAAGAAATGGATAAAAATATAGCAATAAACAGAAAAGTTTTTTTAGAAATGCATTGTCTTTGAATTGGAGATAATGAAACTTTAAAAATAACAATTTGGCAAACCCTACACCAAAATATCAGATAGTAAAAACTAAAAACAGTAAGAGATCACTAAAAAGGATTATAATTACCTCAAAAGTCATTGCAACATTCATGTCTGAAAATGCTTGGGCAGCAGTCAACTTTGGACAAACTTTCACAAAAAGAAAAAATTAATTTGCAGCTAAGATGAATTTAAAATTTTTCACTATTTCCTGAACCAAATAACAAACCTTTTGGAAATCAGTTAATTTCGTCGCATTCAACTTTTAAAATTGAATATAAAACTCCAAAATTTTTAAAATTTAAATACTTCAAAACTAATTTGAAATTTTTTTTTTTTTTTTAAAAAGTCAACAGTTCCTTTATTTGGTGTTAGGGCAAATCTAGTAGAATACCAAACAATACAATATTGTGTAAATCGAGCCCGTTTATTGAAATAATTCCAATTTTCTTTTAAATCAAATGAGAACAAAATTTGCTAAATTATGAAAATCTTTAGGAGGTCACAGTTACCTACCATCATTGCATCCTTGTTTACAGACATCTAATTACTAACTAATTAATCTTGTTTACAGACATAAATTAGACACCTTTGAGACAAATATAAAACACGCAAAACAAATGTTTTTTTTCCCTTTAAAAATACTACAAAAAGAAGAGAAACAATTTTATCATTATCCCAAAAAATAACATGCTGATTTTCAAGCTGAGAAGTTTCAGAAATAGAGAAATTACTGTGAAAATAAATCAGATATCAAAGCTTTTGGTAACTAAAACATAGTTAAGGAAAATTAAATATAATGAAACCACTTTACTAATGGGAAAAAAATAAGACTTGAAAGCTTTGGTGCACTACCATGCTGAGATGCACATAGCCTGCTTATGTTTAATATTCTTTTCACAATATATATCACTTTATGTAACTAATTTTAAAAAAACTTAACTTCTTAAGTAAATTATACCTAATTAAAAAAAAAGGTATTCTAATTAGGTTGATTTAGAGTACATTCGAATAATAAATGAAAAGTATTATTAGAAGTTTGATTCCAAGTCAGAGTTTAAAGATCGTAAGACAATTGGTAATCGGTTTAAGTATTATAAATACTTTTATCTATATTTTGTTGCAAAAAGATTACTAACTTCAAAGAATCTTTGTTTATTAATTTGATCATCATTTAATTAAACTCATTAAAGTCATCTTATAATCAATATCACTTAGGCAATGTTATTCGGGCTTAGTAACGTTTATATAATGTACTCGACATTAATAAAATAATCAATCGGTTACATACTTTTGAATCTATACATACCTTCTATAAAGTGCTTACTGCATATTAAACTGTAGTCGGACAGTTTTCAGTATATTTTTTTAATGGCATCTGTATATTACGTGTTTTAAAATTCAAACCAAAGCACAAACAAGTTGTAAACAACATACGGCTTTTTAAAACCGGAACTTCCGGTGGCCTCAGTAAACACTGCCCCCTACCGTTGAAAATATGAAACACTGTTGTAAATAAGTTGGTTATGAGAGAAAAATTAATTTATTTTACCTATGTTTGTACCAAGTTTTTTAAAACGTTTGAATCAGGTTTTCATAATATTCGTGTAAAAAAGTCTTACTTTTATGGGTGAGTGTGCCCTCACCTTAAAGATAATATTTGTTATGATTCATATTAGAAATTCTTGATTTTCTACGAGTACACATTATTATTTAATTATTTTGTCTATTAAGAGTAGAATTAATTTATTTCGTACATATATACAAATTTTTTTTCAAATGTTTTTGTTAGGTTTTAATAAAATTTGTGTTGAAACGTCCTGTATTATGTGGTTGAGTATGCTCTCTCTAATGATAATGTTTCTTGTGATTCATATTAGAAATAGCTTTTGATTTTTTACTTAAGATATTAATAAAATAGATTGAATATAATGTCTGTCTCATAAACAGACCAGAATAATATACAAAATTTTCTTAATGTACATTAAAATTGATTTGTTTTTGTTAATAAACTTCTGGGAAGCAGAGCTTTGAATGTAAGGATTTTGCTGATATTTTTACAAATACACATTATTATTTAATTATTTTGTCTATTAAAAGAAGAATCAATTTATTTTATACAGATATACCAAACTTTTTCAAATGTTTTTGTTAGATTTTAATAGTATATGTGTGGAGAAGTCTTGTATTATGATGTAGTTGAGCATGCTCTCTCTCATGATAATGTTTGTTGTGATTCATATTAGAAATAGCGTTTGATTTTTTTACTTAAGATATTAATTAAATAGATTTACTATAATGTCTGTTTTATAAACAGAGCAGAATAATAAAAAAGTTGTTAATTTACATTAAAATTTATTTGTTTTTGTTAATGAACTTCTAGGGACAAAGCTTTCGAAATATAAGGATTATGCTGATATTTTCGCAAATACACTTTATTATTTAGTTATTTTGTCTAATAAGAATAGAATCAATTTATTTTATATATATATACTAAACTTTTTCAAATGTTTTTGTTATGGTTTGATGATATTTGTGTCGAAAAATCTTATATTATGTGGTTTAGTGTGCTCTCTAAATATAATATTTATGATTCATATTAAAGTAGTTTATGGGTTTTTTAATTTCGACATTAATCAAGTATAATGCCTATTTTATAATTCTCCCTCACACTTATTTCCTTTCAATTTAGGATTCAACTTCGAACCAAGAAAACAATTCAAAAGAAATAGTGAAGAAGTAGAGAGAGTTTTGTGAGTACTTTTTATTTAATAAAGTCACTGCTGCATGAATTTGAAATGGCTGCTTACATATTTTTCACTCATTGACCAGAGATTTCAATTGCTAGGCTTTCCATCTTCTTATTCTAAAACTGTTTTATTCATATTACTATGTCTATATTATATATTGTATTACTGTGTCTACATTCTAGAGGTAAGTGTTGTAAAAGAAGTATTTTTTGTTGTAAGCAGAAGTATTTGTTCAACCATGTGGCAGAATTTTTTTGGGCTTTCTGCGACAAACCTCTCTAGCACTAATATCTTTCTGCAAGATACTTTTAATAATAACTAATATGCATGTTATTCATTAAATTTAAAGTAACAGAAATGTTCTATTTACAAAAAAAAAAACCTATTTGGATATAAATAAATAGTATATATTTATTTTTTTTAATGAATATGTAATAATTTTTTTTTCAAATATCATGGGCGATATTCTCACATTTTGTAAAAGGAAAACACGGTATTTCTTTTTTCACATTTCGTAAATCATCATCACATTAAAAAAATAATAATTAAAAATCAGTGAAAGAAAAGAAGACCAATTTTTTTCCCCCAAAAGGGAATAAAAAAAATCACGATTATTTCTTCCCCTCTGATGTGTGAAAAAAATCTTTTAAGCATTTACTGCAGAAAAGAAATTTTTTGCTTCAATATTCTTTATTTTTCATTCTTCTCAAATTAGGATTGAAAAATTAAGAACATTTCTTTACACTCCGATGCGTGAAAAAGGCATCTTTTAAATATAATTTTAGAGAAGAAAAAAATTTTTACGTTTTTGCAGAAAAGAAAACGAATATTTTTTACTTTCTAAAGGGAAATTCTTTCTGCAAGAACTCTGTAACATTCTACGACAATGTCACTGTGTTGCCGCAATTCTGCTACGGGATTGTTCAAGACATTAAATTGATTAAAAATCGTCCATATCTCATATTCAATTTATAAATATACCTGAGAAATGCTTTAAACCAAGCAACTTTACTTTCAGGGGTTAGTTAGTTAATTATTAAAGGTGATTTGGTGCAAAGTAGTCAAATTTCCCTTTTAAGTAATTATTGTATTAACTTTTAAAGGAAGACTAAATGTTAAAATTTTTTGTAACAGTTGCTGATTTCAAATGGCGAAAAGAGGGAAAAAAAAAGAAAGTAAGAAAATTCATAAACAATTATTGTTCATTGTATTATAAAATTCATATTCATTTCTTAATCACAATTCTCAATTTTAGTTAAAGCATTAGCAGCTGATGAGAATGAAGATGGTAAGATTGTATTTTTTAATTTTACAAACAAAAAATTTCGATCACTTGTCTATCTCTTTAATTGTTTCTTGATAAGTTTTTTATCCACTTTTTTGAAGCATGCAGATAAATGACATTTTTGTATCTAAATCAGGTTTAGCTAATGTTGTAGCATTAAAAATTTTATATATAAACACTTTGTCTCCACAGCAAGTTTTTAACTATTTAGCAGAGTTCTAGTAAATATATTCCATATAAAGTGTAAAACTTGAAGGGTATATAAGCAAATTTTTTAAAAGCATTTGTTAATTTTTGAAGATCATTGCAACACTTTTTTCATAAGTGTAATCTAATGATCAGCCTCATTTTCTAATTGTTGAGGCGAGCATTTTTTTTTAAAAATATTACATTTCTTTTGGTGTAAAACAAAATCTGAGAAACAAAAAACTCAGCTTTTTCTTATTTACAACATCAGAATTTTCTTAATATTCTCTACAAGCAAATAAGAATGAAATATGTGAAGAAGGGGAAATTGTTTTTTTCCTTGGGGTTTATTCAATACTATCAGCGTTTGCTTCGAAAATATTTGTTGTGCTGATTACTTTGGTTGAGCAAATTTCTCTCTTCATTTTTGTCATAGAATCAATCCAATTTTTCCAATTTGTTGCATTTATTTTATTAATATGAGTAATTAATGATTTTTATTGTTTTCATTTGGTTTTCTTAGTGTGAAATTTAAATTATCAGATTTGCTTATATTCTCCTTGAAATACAAATACATATCTCATATCATAATGCGTATTAACTTAATTTATGGGATAGACACCACAATTCGTATTAAAGTGAACTATGTACCCCATCTTATTTCACATGTTAACTGAATCGTAATTTGTACTTTTCATATAAAGCTGATTTTCAAATTACTTAATGCAATTCATTTTTGGTTTGTGTTTGAAAGTCACGTAAATGCAAAGAACACATTGCTGTTCTTATTACACCAATTTAAAATTAGGTATAGTAGTTTATATTCACACAACTAAAATGTCTTACTTCATATCCACGCAGTTTTAAAAATCAAATATTGCGATTTGCGTTCATGAGTTTTAAAAAGTGCACACAGTGATTCGTATTCAACATTATTTCAAAGTCACACTTTGTTTCAAATTCACACAATTTAAGAATTACACATCATGAAATGTATTCACATTATTTAAAGTAACATAAAGTGATTAACCTTTTGATAAAGTGATTAACCTTTTGATGATTTAAAAATCAGCTATCGTGATTCGTATTCCCCTAATTTAAATATCACTTATGATTCGTTGTCACATGATTTTAAAATCAAATATTACATTTTGTACTAATACAATTTAAAAGTCACATTATGCGATTCGTATTCACGCTATTTAATAATTACACAGCATGAATTCTATTCAAATGATTTATAAGAAGATATTGTGGTTCACATTTTTGCTATTTAAAAATCAAACAGTATGATTCATATTCATGCTATTTATTTCAGTCTATGTATTCTATGGATAAAAAGCAAAAAATGATTAAGTTTTGTATCCAGCCAACTTATAATTTGAAACATTTAAATTTAATGAACACATATAAAAAAAATTTATGCAATATTTTTTAATTATACCTTTTTTTTTTCTTTGAAGCTTTAATTATTTTTTAATACTCAAGAATTGAAATTTCTCTTACTGTATAGATTTGAATCTAAACCTCACTTTTTCCAATGCTAATGCTACTGAGTATTGGGTGCAGTTACAGCATTAGTTAGAGCAATTGCAGGTAGCTGATAAAGCAGTTGCAGGTTTATGTATATATTTAAAAACTCTTGATGCTGGTAGGATAAATAAATTATTCACTTTTTCATTTCAATTTTTTTTTATTTCATAAACATTGGATAGCAATAAACATTTTTAGAATTTTTTTTTTCATGAAAACATTTTGAGAATTTGGAATGCAGCTTAGATTTAAATAAATACAGTAATCTAGTAATATTGTTACAAAATGTGTTTAACTTTCTTGCTGATTTTTTATTCATTATACATATGTAATTGTTAAAATTTCATGAAATAAGATCAAAAGAAAAATATATAAATTTCTCATTTTACGAAAATTATAATTTATAATTTTACTACTGATAATAAAACTGACCACAATCAATGAATATGTATATTCCTGTACATACACTTATTGCTACTGAAACTTCATTTACTTTTTTCATGGAATTCTCTGTCCTATTTATATGTTTTTGTGATCTAAGCATACAAAGTAAAATTCATTAAATAAATAAAAATATATTAAAGCATAATACTGCTTTATTTGGTAAAACTCTTACTAAGAGCCAGAAAAGTTGGCTTCTTTGCATGACAAAAACTTTTTTTATATATACATATGTGAAATGTGTGTTTAAAAGAAAAACATTTTTTGTTTTCATTGACTTACAGACAGAGTCTTTCAAGGTGGTTTTGAAATTCTCAAGGGGTTTCAGTGTAGTTCAAATTTATCTCAATCACTTTACGATTTTTTCCGTGAGGAGGTAAGTATTTTTAATTTAATTTCTAAGTATAGTATACAATTTAAAATTGTACTACATTCTTTTTCCCTTCTTCATATAATATGCAATTCAATTAAAGTAATGAAATTTGTAAAGTATTTTTCTGATGCAGTATAGGACCTTAAATCCGGCACTCACGGCACCGACGAAATTCGTATTTCGGAATTTGCCGAATTTTGGATCACTTCCGGAAGTTCCAATATGGCTCCCATATATTATGATAATTCAATTACGCTGTTAATTTCAGAAAAACCAATAAATTTAGCTAAGTTTCAATTCTAGATTTTGATGGGGTGAATTTAAAACTGTCCTTTCTTTAAAAATTTCATTAATTAAAATAATAATCTATTGATATAATCAAGAAAAAATAATCCAAAAAAGAAATAATCGTTTCTTCTTCGGAGGGAGATCATTGTTCTCGTTTTTTCTTTTACATAACATTTTGTTTTAACAAAAGACGTTTATCTCGCTAAAAAAAAAAATAAAAAATAAGCTAACAAGGAACTACAAAAAAAGTAACAATTAATACTAAGAAACTAACAATGAATAACTGCGAAAAAGAAGCAAACAACTAATAACGATAAATAAATCGAATTTAAAAAAAAGCAGCAAAAGGGACAGAATTCATTTTGTACACCAAGTGAGAAAGAAGTTTCAATGTCAAAAGGGTGTGGCTAATTTATGATCAAACAGGAGAGGGAAATGTGGGGACAAACCAATAAGGCACTTGCACAGCTGTCAAGATTGATTGATCAGTTTCTCCCAACTTGCATTTATTTATTTTGTTCATTGGAAATGCAGTTGTTTTTACTTTTTCAATTTCAACTGCTTTAGGAATAGATGTTTTGTTTGACATAGATTTATTATTTTTTCTCTTCATGTTTTTATTTTTAAAAGATAAAATATAGTTACTTACTTCAAGAGAAAAAAATTCCAAATAAAAAGAAAATATGACTGATTTTTTTTTCTCTTATCAATAAAAATTTCTTAGAAATTTTTTTTTTTAAAGATTAGGTCGGATTAAGTGTTGAATTTCGAGTCTTGCCGGATTAGGGGTCCCATACTGTACCTATTTTAACAGAGATATTTAATTATTTCAAATAAATTGGTAATAAAAAGGAGGAAAAAAATAATTAAATTATAATGGACTCCTTACAGTTGGAAAAATTGTATAGAAGCAGTGTACTCAAAAGTATTTTCAAAAAAGCCGAGATTATTGCCATAAAAAAGTAAGTGCACAAAGCTCTTTTAGTTTTTTTTTATTTCATTGGTTCTGTAAACAAATTTAATTTTTTCTCTTATAGGGATGGTGAGAATAACAATGTATATGTTGATTTTAATTTGCACTTATCACGAGAGCAACTTAACCTCAGATACAGATCATTCTCTCTGAGGAAAACTTTGAAAAATATACTTTCTGGGGAAATAAATTGTTTTACTGTGACTGGATTTTTCAGAAGTTTAAAATTGGACATTGAAGGTAAATTGTTTAAATGTATTGTTTTGATAAATATCAGTTTGTAATTACTTGACTATTTCAAACCCATAATAAATGGGCACATAGATATGTATGGAAGGTTATTTAAGGGGGAACAACACTGTAGAAAGCTGTAAAAATAAAGGATTTTTTTAATTAATTTTGCAACATTAAAAAAATCCTTTATTTTTACAGCTTTCTACAGTGTTATTGTTGCACAACTGTTGCAAATAATTACACAATTGTTGCAAATAATGAAATTTGCAACAATTGTGATAAATTGTGATAATTGTGATAAAAAATTTTTATCTTATTGTACATATTTTAATCTTTATTTTATCATGATACACAAAAATTTAAATTAGAAATTAGCGCTTATTTAATACATTGTTTATAACTTATATTTTTAATATTCTATAACTTGCTGTACTCTTGAGTTGAAAAAAAGAAATTCATCCAAATTTGATTCCCAGTTGTACATAAGGTTTTTAAAAAACAATTTTTTTCCCACAAAATGGCAGTTCTGGGCAATTCTGTGTTAAGGTCAACCAGGTGACCAGAATTTTAAACTTCATTTTTTTTCAGTAAGCAAGGTATCATTATTTTCAAGATAAAAAACTGAGATTTTAAAATGATAAATTTTAACTTATCAGTTTCCAATTAGCTGTAGGCTGTTAAATGAAAGGTTTCATCATTTGAAATTTTTAACCACGGTGAATGAATCTCTAGCAAGTAGTTTTTTTTTAATTGCACTAATGATAGAAAATGGAGTAAACAATAATTATAGTGAACTGCATCAAAACAGGGTAGCTTGCACAAATGTGCAGAAGCACTTCACATTTTGATTTACAAAAAAATTTCCAAGATGCTCTTTTTTTATATTTTACGTCCGTCAACAAAATATATATTTGTACTTTGCCACTAAGATTTAACCTAATAATTTTTTTTTTGTTTAATGCAAGATTCTAAGTCTCCTTTGTATAGTCTATTTTGATTTCAAAAATAATAAATACTTTTATTGTAAATCAATAATAAATTATTTTTACATCTGATACCACTGCTTTTCATTGCATTTGTTTTCATCTAATTCCATCTCTTATTTCGCCTTTTCTTCATAAGATAAAGTGACATATGAATAGAAACCGTCTAAGGCTACCCATTACCAGGGACAACCCTGAATCAATTAGATGAACCGTGACAGTTGTGTGTTGGGTCAAGTGGAGATTTTAAGAAATGTCGTTTCCTGTTTCAATGTCATTCCTTTTCTGTTACAGTTTTCCATTTTAAAAGAAATAACATCATATCTCAAATGGTTTTTAATTTTAAAATGTTTCTGTAAAGAAGAATAAATTAGTTATGTACAAAAAATATTTTGTATTTAATTACAAAAAAGCATATGCTAAATGTTCTCAACATTAAATCTATTTTGATAAAAGGTAAATAAAAAATAACACATTTCTTTTGCAAACATTGACATTTTAAGCATTTATTTAATTAAATGTTGTGCAACATTCATCTTTTTCGTATTTAATATGGTAAGAAAATTCCGATTTGATTTTCACAAGGTTAATATCATTGTCTATATAATAAATATTTTTGTTATTGTTGATTCTAATATCTATTGCCAATATTAGCAAGCCTGCTTGGTGAAACCAAGTGAATTTCAGGCGAAGGGTGCACAATTTTTCAGTAATGCCATCTATATGGCCAAGAGTACAACTTCAGCCACACACGCATCACAGCCCGTTCAGCCACAGATCGTAATTTCCTTTTCAGTACCCCCAGAGGTTTTGATTTGTTATTGGAACATGAAGAGCTTTATGACCAGACATATTTAACTTGCAACAGTCACCATTTACTACAAAAAGATTCTTCAACCGGCGGGTATCAAACTTACGCCCTTTCGGACATGGGCCCAACGCCCTACCATCCAGGCTTTCATGACCATAAATATTTTTAAGAATAATATATATTAAAGAATAAAAACCTTTTATCTCTGATTATTCTTACAATAAGCTGATATATCATATTTTATATTCAAAATATAGAGAAAATGTCCCATCAATTTAGTTTTCGGTTTTATTGAGGTAAAATCTAGACTAATTAATTTTTTTGCTTTCTATTGCAACTTCATCCTCATAGTTTTTTTATGAAATTCTAACTTGATTTTAAACTTTATAAGCACTCATTAAATAATTTTCATTTTTGTATTTAGCAATACTGTGAAAATATAACTCTTTCTATTGCTTCAAAATTTTAAACAATTATTTACTATTCTTTATTTTAATTGCATGCTAACGCATGCAATTAAAAGAGAACGTTATTTGTCTATAATCATTTACTATTTAATAAAAAATAACAAAAAATAGCTGAAGTGACAAAATACTTTTGGTATACAAAACGTAACTATCAATTTTCTGATAAATAAAAGCGGTATGTGTGCAATGCTGATCATACTTGACACAATTGTTGAATATTTTTCATGAAAGCGGTTATTTTGCAATAGTGCGAAAATTTTATTATTAATGTTACATTAGAATTTTAAATAGTCATTTACTATTCATTATTTTGATTGCATATGTTGAATGAACATAAAGAAGTTATTTAGCAATAATGTAAAAATTTAATCATAAATATTGTTTAGAATTGTAAACAGTTAGTTACTATTTAATATTTTAATTGCAATTGAATGAGCATAATTAATATTTTTGAATCCTCATTCTTTATTGAAGAAAATATGACAAAAATAGCTGATATGACAAAATAAGTTTAACATGCAGAGCATGATTATTACCTTGTCTGGGAAGTAAAGATAGCCCACGTGCAGTGCTTACCACACAGCCACAAGCATGCCGTTGATCACTAAACTTATAGAGATCTTTTTTTCTAGCAAATTTTTTATCTGGAATTTTTTTTTTTACCTAGCTAATTCTCGTTACAGACAAAGAGCTTGGGGCAAAATCATGGAAAACTGCCTTTTTTAAATTGTTGAGATGCCTTTTTTTTGTGGTAAGCATGATTTCCACGTTAAAAAAATAAGTTTTTTCTGTTCATTCAACTGTTATCTGTGGAAATCACATAAACTTGTGAAATACTTATCTGGAAAGAATGCTGAAGACCAGTCTGTTTTAAAAATGCTACATTTGAGAAAATGTGTCTTAACATTATATTGCCCTTCAAATGTATTCATATTTGGAAGTTGTAGTGTGTTAACTCATCAATGTATTTTATGAATGAAGTTATATTATTTAAATTTGCACATTTAGTGCTTCATTTTTAGTATATTTAAGTAAAAAGATTAAAAGAATTATTGTGTATGGATTAATAATTCAGTAATATAAGTGAGAAATGAATGAAATGTCATTTGACAATAAGAAAATTCATTTGAAGGTTTATATTATTCACTACATAATTTATTACAAGATTTGTAATGCTCATAAATTATAATTGTTGTTTAAATTCATTTTTAATTACTCTTCTTAATTTATATTCTAGACCTGGAAGAAGTAGATGGTAAGAATCTTTTTTTTTTCTTTTAATTTTTGTAAGAAAAACAATTTACTATTTGCTTGTTTATTTTAATATAATTTTTTGTTCATTTTGCATTTTAATATGACATATAGATTAAGGAAATTTCTATTCTTTAATGCAGTGTCAAAATTTTATTTTAGAAATTTAAGTATCCTTAAGTTTTGAAATAATGTCATAATTATTTTTTATTAGATTGCAGTTCCAGAAAGTAATAGATTAACTTTCCTTTGAACTATATATGGTCCGCTTTTTAACAAATTTTTCTGTACAACCAAATGCAGTACAGTAAACATTTAACCAAATACAGTGCATTTTAATACTTTTAACTTAAAAATTTCTGCATCAATTGAAAATAACAAGGAGAAACGGAAGGTGGAAAATTTTTCTCTTGATTCACCCTGCAGTCACATGGTTCATTCTGAGTACAAAAATTATCATCATGTACATGCTCTGTTTACATTTTATTTCTATGGATGCAACGCCAAATTGGTGAAATAAAATTTCTTGAAAATAATTCTATAATTGAAATGCATAATATTTCTTAAGACTGGCCCACTGTTTGTTTTTTAAACTTTTTCATCAAATGAGAAAATTTATATTAAAATATGCATTGCGGTATTAAACATCTGTTGCATTTTAGGCAGAATAGTGGGATTAGATCCAGTAAGAATGTTAGCCAAATTTCAAAAAAATCGTTAAATTGAAAATTATTATTTTTTAAGGATTTGATTTCTTACTGTTGTAGTTTTTTTAACTGAATTATTTCAAATATTAATAACAAAATTATTAAATAAAGAATTAAGCTCACATGAGTCTACAAGCTATAACAAGCTACAAGCTCACAGAGTTCAATAAATGGGCAATCAAATGACTGTTTTGCAGAATATCCCACTATTTACCTATAGTTGCAAGAAGGAGTGCCATAATGGTATATTTTTATTAATGTTCTTGTAAGTTGTAAGACAAATTTGTTCCTGAAGCACTAAGTGCATTCTTGATTAAAATCAAGGTTTCATAATTCAAATTGAGTATGAATAATTTGTGAAAATTGCTAATTCTTTTCTCTGACAGACTTGAATCTACTCATTATTTTTCTTTGCATTTGATGTATTCATAATGAATAATGTACTCTTCTTTCTAAAGATGGAAAAAGAGATTAGTTAATGTATCTCAGAACAATATTTTTAACAATAAAAAAAAATTTATACAATAAATTTTGAAAATAAATCTTGTTCTTGATCATTATATTTAACCTGAGAGAGTAGCAAAAAATTAATTGGGACAAGATTTGAAAATAAAAATTCATACTAATTACTGAATGTATTATTGAAAAGATGTTTGGATAAGTAGGGGTAATGCATGTGGTCATTAGTTGAAATCTAGATAGGTTACTCTAGATACTACTACTACTAGACTCCTTTTCTCTGTCAAATAAGATTTATCCTAGTTAATTATATTTTTATTTTGGTTTTTCTCACTCAATATAAGCTTGCCTCATTGTGAATATTTTTTAACATCATTGTTTAAACAGATTCTAAAAGTATACAGTAATTTTAGTTACTGATATATTGTGTGTGTTCTTTGCCTAGAACAGAATTTCCTAATCTCTTCTGGTTTAAGGCATAAATAAAATTTGCTGGAATTATTTATTGTACCCCATAGTGTTAAAAAAGAGAGTAGTAGAATAATTTTTTAAAAAATATTTTTAATTTACAAAATTATTGGTCCAAAATCATGCAACACATAGAATGACAAACTCTGATCTAGAGTATGTAATGTCTTTTATCTTTGGGTGAAGCATAGCTTTTGATTCATTTATCTTCTCTTAAATTTTTGTTACATTTGGGACCTTTAAAAAATCAAGCTACAACCTACACAAGCACAGTTTCTCAAGGACTGTACCTGATCTCAACATTTCAAATTTAAAAGACAAAATTACTTTGCACAACAGAGGGATAAACAGATATGCTGGGAGATTCTTTTGAAAATGTCGTATACCATATGCAATTATAAGAGCATCAGAATGATGGTCACATTGAACTCCGTTTGTAAATTAGTATTGTTTATTATTATAAAAAATATTGTTAATTATAATGAAAAAAGTTATTTACTGCTTCAGTGGATAAATAGGTATTCATTTATTACACTTATTATGCTCGAAGTACTAAATATTCCTAACTTTTAGGGGGGGGGATATTTTTTGTTAGAATTTTGAACCCCATACTCTGCTGAGCATGGCAATTTTTTTTAACATTAGAATCTAGCACATCGTGTGATATGTATTTCTAAACACCATATTATTTTATGGGTGCCATGTGAATCTCTTGCTTTCTATAAATGACAAGTGTTAATTGAAACAAGAAAGGAAAGATGTAAATATGATATCTCATTTAACTTTAGTATGTTTGTTAAATTTAACCTTAAACTTTGAGGTATTTTTCAGAAGTGTTAAAATCGAGTACTTTTGAAAATCTGAAGCTCTCAAAACAAAAAGAGATTTTAATAGGTGTTGGGTACTGTTCATAAAAAGCACAATTATTTGATACAGTGTTATTTTGAGGGGGTTATGTTTTATTTTTATATATGGTTTCATTTATAAAATATGTGGTTTCACTTCAGATAAGCCAGCTGAAATAGAACATTATCTCGAGATCGAGTTTGAATATGTTCCCTGTTCTGATCCAAAAGAGTAAGTAGTTGCTTCATTATTAATGAGTTAATTATATTTTCATAAAAATAAATTAACTTAGTGAAATAAGTTCTCTAAGATTGCAAATGTTACATTTAAAACTTTATATATCTTATTAAAAGTATAAGACTTTTTTTTATAACTTGTGAAAATGTATTAAAAATAAATAAAAGTATTATTAGAATTGTTCAGTGTTTATAATTCATAGTCTACAAATTAAATGATTAGTTACGTAGTAATTCTGGTTTGAGTTCAGTTATCTAGCGCTAAACCTGAATGTTTCCTTTACATTGCATGCATTAGAATTTACATGCATAACAAATTACATGTCATTGTATAGTAATCAATAAATTAAAAAAGAAATTCTCACATTTTAAGTAAATTGCTAGATTATACAAATGTTTTCAATACCTGGTTTTGTATATGAAACATTAGCTCTTATTTTTCTCTGTTTTATGTTTGTCAGACCTTTCACAATTTGTCCAAATGTCAAAAGTCCAAACCAGTTTGTTATAATGTTATTAAAAATTTTAGTGAAAATTTAATAATTCTTTAAGGCATAAATTTCAATTTCTTAATTTTTGTTGTGCTTTTTAGAAAAATATCCTTTTAAAAGTATGATTCATTATTGATCTAACTTCTTACTGTAAAGAAAGTTTGTGCCTTGACATTAATTGTAGAATATGGATTTTGTTTTTAATTTTCTTTTTTTAATATTCAATTGTGGAAAGTATTTTACTATTTTTATGTATTATGTCAGAAGTTTTATGTATTATGTATGTTGTTTTATGTATTATGTATCTCTTTAACAAATCAACTTTGCCAAAAATTATTGAGAGGACGCATAATAACTTTGAATTCAAATCACTGAAAATTATTTTGGACTTGGCTTATGGAAAACAGTCAAGGGGCAATTTTTTAATGCTTGTATACAGTTATTATTTTGAAATGATAACATTGTTTAAGTGTAAATAATTTAAAATATAAGGTAAACACTGAATTATGTGCATATTTAACGTTTTAAAAATCACTCCTTCATTTTGAAGAAAAGAAAAATAGATGACAATTCAGTTTTAAGTTCAAAAATCTAGTTTGCCTAACTCTAATAACGTTACCAGTGTAAAAACAATGTTTCATTAACTATGATTTTACTTTTTAAAAGAAAACAAAAATAACCGTTTTCCTTAGTAAATAAAGTTAACTTTGAGCTCTAAATGAATTTTATAAAGCTGAGATATTTTGAAAAGAGCACAAATGATATCACATATACAGGCGTACAATTCTATCTAAACTATAACCAAGCACCTTTTTCTGTGTCAAAACACAGAATAGTAATAACATGTCTAAATACATTTAGTGTTTGGGGATTTTTTATTTCTGCTTATTCTTGGGGAATTTTATTTCTGCTTTTTCCATGTTTTAGCTTTATAAAATTCCACTTGTGTCATTTTTGTTATCTTACAGAGTGTCCAGAAATAGGGAAAACTAGGAATTATCAGGGAACTTATTGATTCTGGTAATTTCAAGGAATTTCTCAAAAAATCTTAGTAAAACAAGTATAAGTTTTTTAACAACAAGCGATCAAGGATTGTTACAATACGTGAGCCGGGCTTCACTAAAAATAGAACAAACAAGTATTCTCAGTGGTAACGAAGTTTCTGATCTTTTTTTTTTCAGTAGGAATTCATTGGGTTTTTTTTATCATTTCCCTAAGGTTATGATATGCAAATTTCGAACTTGGGCTATCACTTTTTTAAAGTGTTCGATCCGCAACAATTCCATTGTATCTCATTTGAAGAGATAGTTTGTTTGGAAATAATTTACCATTTACAAAGCCCCTTTCACATGGCTTTTCAAATTACAATATCTTTTATGAAAAAATTTTGAATTATAAGGTATAAATTTTTTTTATACCATATTAATCTATGTATTTTTCAAAATCAAAATCTGAAGTTTCAATAGTTTTTATTTGGTAGAAGCCAAGAAAAATTAAAATGAATTATTTTTAAAAAAAAATTATGGCGACAATGAAGAAATATTTGAATGGGTCATTAATCTTTAATTGTGGTTAACTTACAAGGAACTTGATTTACGCTTGCGTAGAATAAAATTTCATTCATATATTTTTCGCTAATAACGGATTGATAATGCTTTTTTTTTTCAATTGAAAAATACAATGTGTTTTTTTTTTAGTCTTCTGAAAATTTATTTGTAATTTAATAAAGAAATTTGAATAAAAATATTTTATTAATGAATGTTGAGTTTTATAACAGCATGTTTCTGATAGAATGCTTTTTTTTATTTTATCAGCTTAGTTAGTTCTTACAATTTCAATAATATACCATCGTATGCATAGATTTGCAAAAATATGTATATCAATTTTTTCAAAATATATATATTTTATAATTATTAATACAAATGCATAGTCAACATTTTTAAGCATCTTACAATAAATTTGTTAATGACCTGTCTGCTCATGTTTCACAGAATTATTTTTCTAACTTTTTATTTAAATTTTAACATTTCTTAAAAACTTATTCCTTATGCTACCATGTATATTATTTTTCCATTCTACTAATCAATTGTTTTAGTACTTTAATTTATGTTTTCCTTTAAAATAAAATTCCTTTTTAAATTATTGTTATGTTTTTATTGAAAGAAAAATTAGAACTATTGCCAGCTAGCTGAGAATTAAATCTTGTTAAGAAATTAAAAATATTCTGCTGATCAAAATCATTTGATGCAGAACAGCCGACTATTTACTAAGCATATTATTGTTTTCGAAAAATAAAAATAAGTTATGGATTTTTTTTTATTTTTTTTTTTTGTTTCTTATTTATTTGAGTAATGAAAAGTAAATGTGTATGCGTGCACAGCCAAAAAATACAACAGTTTGTTTTGTTTTTTAAATGAATAAAAACTATGGACATACAATTTTATTTTGACATTCAAGGTTAGTCTTTCTTGCCCGCTAACTTTAAAAAAGTTACCCTTTTCTTTTAAAAAGTTAAAAATATTTGCTTAAAAAGTTGTTTATATTATTTCTCAACTTTAGCACAATTCAAAAAAATATTGCTATATCAGGAAAATGTTCAATATGCCTTGTTTTGTCAAAAAAAAAAAAACTACTGAAATAAAACATTTTAAAAAGATTTGAAAATGTGCTATTTTTAGAATCGCTAAAAAATTGTTCTTTTTCTAACATTAGGATTTTTTCTACTTAAATAACCTATAATACTCGTTTTGAAGAAATTACGAATGCAAATTTGGATCTAATATTTCATAATAAGGAAACAAGAATATTAGTTATTCATTGATAATTGTTTCATTGCACCGAAATAGTTAATTCTTTTCGAAACAATCGGCCTTGCGATTATTTAACTTTGATTCTTTGGATTAGAGGTCATTTCATGCGCGTCATTCAACTTTAAAATTTCAAATATAAAATGCAAGAATTACAAGGATGCGTAAGCTGGCTTTAACTAATAATATAAAACTGAAAAAATCGTCGGCAAAGGAAGTTATCTCAGGAGTAAAATGTCAGAGTTAAAAAATTGAACAATTGTTACTCTTGTTTATTTTGGGGTATTATTAACCTAAATTTTCCTTTATTTTAGTTTTTTAAATTATATCTTTTAATAAACTAATGAAATGAGTGTGTAAATAATTTCCATTCTTTTTACTGGAAACCAAGTTTACATGAACTTCTTTCTTATACCTCTTAATCTCGAAAGCCTCTATATCTCAAAATTTCTGAAATTACCTTCAATTACTGTCTAAAATCATTGTATTTTCCAAGTTTATGTCGAATATTTTTTTCTTCAAAACCTCCGTTTCTCGAATTTCTAATAATAGAGCACAAATGTCAAAACTTTCTTTATCAGTAGAACTTATAGACAGAGATGAATTTCATGAACCCACAAAAAGTAGGGATGAGCAGGTTGGGGATGTTTCTTGGAATTTCAATCACTATCCCTGCTCTTCCTTAGCTAGAAAGGAAGACAATGATTCTGGTAGTTTGTGAGGGGTTACCACCAGGGGTTAGTTTTTGAAAAGAGATAAGAAAGCTAAGAATAGAAATTCATTTTCACCTCAAAATTGCAACCAATGGATCAAAGGATAATTAAGAGTTTTAAAGTGAATTATCGAAAATAGTTGGTATGCAAACTTCTAGATGCTATCAGAGTTACTGTTTTGTCTGGAGAAATGTGTCTAAAAACTATCCAAAATGGTTTTAAAAAGCTGGTTTTAGGAATAGTTTTGAGGATGAACAAGAAGGTGAAGGCATCAGTAAAGAAGAAGGAACTGCTGACGCTGAAAATGCAGTGCCAGAGTTTCCAGAATGGAATGCAATAAAATCTGGATTTAATGTTGACATTGATTTTGAAGATTTTCACAAGTGAACAACTGTCTGGTAACATGCGGAACATTGACAGATGTGGAAATGATAGATAATCTCAAAGGAATATCAGTTGAAGAGGAAGAAGCTGAAGATCATATTGATGAATCAAAAGTGAATGCAAAAGAGGTAGAATAGCTGTAGAATTCGTATAAACTTTTCTTGAATCCCAGGAAAATGTTGGATATGAGGAATTTGCGCTCTTTTTAACCTTAAAATAATTATCTAAACAAATAAGATTATACGTCAAATATCTTAGAAAATTTTTTTTCAGTGTATGTCACAAATTTTTTATGTAAATAGATGTATGTGGTATAATTAATTTAAAGAAATGCCTATTGTTTCCTACTAAAAAAATTAAAGCACTTTTAATAGAGTTTCTTAATTAAATTTTATTTTTTAAAGTACCTGTATGACTCAAAACCTCTTTGTCTCAAATTTTTCGCCTTCCTGTGAGATTCGAGATAAACAGGTTCGACTGTATATAGTTTCTCCATAATTTAATAACTTTAATTTAATGACCTTTAATTTAATAACTTTACATATTATATTACTATAATGATGCTCATTGTGTTGCAATATTGAACAGTGGAGTGCACAG